AGGAGTGCACTTAGTACCTTCACCCCACAGCAGGCTAAAGTCTGCTGTCGGTCGACATTACTCAGCCAGTCTAGACTCTGGAGGGATCCCGACTTTAATGTTGGGATCCACCCAGATGCCTGACAGGTAGCTGAATTAGTATCTCGGTGCACTACTAAGAACCTGATGACAAAAACTGAGCAATCAATATTCTTTGATCACTCAGTTCTCAGTCTTATAGGTGGCAGGAGACAGATGCTGCATCCATCTGGGCAAATATGATTTTTTTTTTTAAATCTTACAATTCTTTTTTAAAGTATATCTCTAGACACTTTTTATTGCTGTCTGAGTTCCTCTTTTTTGATCTGGTGAACACTGTCTTCGAGACAGAACACTGTGGCAAATACAAAATTACACAGTTGTCACCAGAATAATGAGGTAAAATCTTCTCAATGGTATATTTCTAGTGACAACTGTATAAAGGGATTTACACTCATTTTGAAAAGATTTTCATTTCCTGATGGGTTTTCTGGACAGGAAATGAAAGGAAAACTCTCCAGTGGGAAACAGAGAGAGAAAAACATGTTAGGGTCTCTGACTATTCCATGCCTTATCTAAAACTGAAAAAATAAAACATTTTGGCTATAAATACACTGTAGGGAATTCGGCTGCCAGTGTATGGCTACAGTGCTATATAGGCGTCATTTAAATGAGTCATTTGGTAAATGGCCCTAAGAGATAATGCAATCTGTAAAGCTAAACTGTGTGCTAGCTCCTAGTGGCCCCTAAATGTGAAATTTTAGGTAGATTTGCTTTTTGCTTGCCAGCGAATTGAAATGTCCTCTTGCTTCTCTTATGTCTAAAAGACTCCTCCAGCAAGATATCCCTTCCAGTTCCCTTCAACTGTCAAATGATGACATCACATATCATGATGGACAAATTATTTGTGGAACCCAACTGCAAGAGAATGACTCCTCTATTATGTCCTTGTACAAGGAGATAGAGTTAGAAAGGAATGCAGAAAAATTTAGTTAGAGGAAGCTACAAGAGATATAAGAGGCTAGTATGTTTTTCAACCCACCAGTACCCACTAAATCTGAAATCTTAGTTTTAGGGATAAGTAGACCTTACAGAGACAGAGATTCTTTCACTTTGTCCATTCAGGAAGAGTCTCTTTAACTCTTCAAATCTATTTATACACACCTTTCCCTCTGCTCCATGGCTCCATCTACAGTGAGCTACTGCAAAATACCAAGTACTTCTGGGTCTGAGAGTGCATTTGACCCTCCCTTGGAGCCATGTACCAGGAATGAACACTGCTATGTGAGGAGGACACATCATCAACCCTGTGTAAGTCCTAACACCATGCAACACAGCTTACACAAGGTTAGGACAGTGGAAGAACCAAGCCAAGAGAAGTGTAGGGAAGGAAGTGAGTATTAGTCTCTAAATGTAAAAAAATTACAGTGTTTCTTTACAGTGTTTGTACACATACTACATCCCAGTAATGCATAGCCTTTCATCTAAGAGAGCAAGGTGGAGTTCTGTATGATTCTATCAGACTATAGGTCCTTAGGATCCCCACTGTTGTGTATACAAGTCCCATCCTCTGTCTGAAATACCATGCTGGGACATGAAGGCCCCAAAAAACTACAAAAGCATATATCTGCCTAAACCTGCAGCATTTGATAGGTTTACGGGCTTAGAAACACAGGCGATTCAGCTGACACTCCCCATTTTCTGCTTCCCATCCAGACTCCAGAGAGTCTAGCAAAGAAGGAATTAATGTTATTGTTATAACTCAGTGACAGTCAGGCCACCTTGCACACAGGCAGATAAATGGATTTTGCTCAGGACCACCGCAAGCGCCAGTGACAGAGGCAGACATTGAACTGATGACCTTGCGCATCAGAGAACAGTTCCTTAACCAATATGTCACATCTTCTCAAAAAGCCTTTTACACTCCACACAGAATGACAATCCCAGAGACATTAAAGGTCAGCTCTCTCCCTGTGTAACCTCTATTATTTCTGTGATATGATGAGCAGAAGCTGTGCATAAAAGCCCAACACAAAGCAGTAACTGCTGCTGATTATGTGTCAAGTACTGTTCTACACCATAATTATGTGCTTTTATGTACCATTTACAAAGTATGCGTGCTTCATCAACAGGAGTTTCTTCCTCCCCTACACAAACTTCTCCGAACTGCACATAGCTGAGCATTTTCTGTGCATGTTAAGAATGTTTTATTATCTGCAAAAGATTTCCACAATTTCCTTTGTATGATATAATGTGCAATTAGGCAAGGCATCCTGAGATATTTCAAGCTGCATGGTTTGTAGCTAGAACAATTTCCTCACATTACCTTTCCTCCCTCATTCCTTGTTTAGGAGATATAAGCTTTCTGTCTAATTCCTTAATATATTTATTTATTGTTTAAAACAATAAGAATTTGCCCATTTCAATAATGTCATTTAGCACTTTAGATAATTTCTGAAAACTGCAGGCATGTGTATAATATACATCATCAGAGAACATTTTGTGTGGCTTATTATTACATATGGCTCTAATAGGAGCTGTATAGCATGAGCTTGTTCAGGAGAAGGGGTTGATGGAAATCGTTTGATGTACTGTAAAGTACTGCAGAATTCTTTGGTTCTACATAATTACTTGAATAAATTAATAAAAATAATTTGCAAACATTTTATGCTAGTAAAATGTATGTATAGCCAAGACTTTTCTTTTACTTTTAGAATAGGGAAGGGTTAAAACCACTGTTAGATAATTGCTTGCTGTCTATGTCCCCTTAGGAAGGTTTCCCTTCATTTCCTGTTGCAGGGAAAACCCTAGAAAGTTAGGAGAAATCTTCTCATAGATAGTTGTCACCAGAAATGGTGTCCCCCTTAGAAGATTTCCCCTCTACTCCTGTTCTGGAGACACCTGTAAAATTGTGAATTTCCCGCTGTTTATTGGAACAGTTTAGCTATACATACATTTTTGTTAACCATTTTCCAGATGTTTAGCATAGTAAATGATGTTTAATCATTTTGGGCCTTTACAACTGGCCACACACATTGTAATTGGACTTTCCACCAACTATGTAGAGCCAACCTAATTGGATACAAACTACATAGTTGCCGGTCAAATATTATACAATCAGACTATATCATAAGTGGACAACCTAAGAGCAATACAAACCTCTCAATAACCCCAGTGTCTGTTAAAATAGAATTACAGTCAAAACATTTTTTTCAAGTGGAAATATGGAAAGGATAGAAACATGCCTGTTTCCCCAATGGTAAGATTTACTTCAACTATCCATCCTACTGACCACTGTCAATTGACCATAAAGTGAGAAGCAACCCAAACTATAATACATATCCAGAGGGAGGGGACACCAGTTCTAGTGACAACTGTAATTTCAGGAAGATCTTGCTTCCTGTTTTGTCTTAGGGACAGGAAATAGGAATATAGAAAAACCATACCAATGAGGACACAGTCAGCGGAGAAAACTTAAGTAAATTCCAACTATTCAAAACTAAATTTTAAAAAAGACTGGAGTCCCAATTTAAGCTATATATAAATGATAATGAGCATTGCATAATTCAGCTATGTTTGACCAAAATCACTACATGGATGGGTGCCGTTTAACCTATGGTGAGCTAGTTGTGGCCCACTGGTCAGATTACATTTTCCTAGCTCAAGGTTACCCTGAAATAATACCAGTGCTAGAGCTGCTTGATGAAAGCATATACAGTACATGCACATGTGTTAAACCTGTTTTCTGGCACTTCATAAATGAACACCAATAAAGATTAGAAGCTCTCAAAGATCATATTTAGTAGTGGCGAAGCCAACCCGATTTGAGTTTCTCATATTTAACATTTGTATGCAGCGATTTTATATATATATAACAACAAAATGTACATGCAAATCTCACCTACTTCCTGTGCTATTGCTTGCTTTGTTTCAAACATCTAAAAATACAATCTATGTGGTGGTATAGGAACTGTCAATTTACTGTTTGGAATAGATTTGCCTCTTACATCTTAAATTTAACTAAATTACAGCATGCACAATTTGTGTGACACAAAGGTTCAAAGCAATTAATCATGGATACCTTAAAGTGTAAAATGTAAAGGTCCACTTGTTAGATCAGGGCCCCTTCCCTTTGTAAAACTGCTGTATAATAGTAGTTAAAAATTTACCTGTAAGGAAAGAAGTTTGAGCAAATACTTACCTAACCCATATCTTCCAAATTGCAGGGCATACTGTTGCCACCCTTCCCTTGAGATTCCCTGGGAACAATAGACACTCCAGCCCAATGCAAGAACATCTTTTCACTCTTGTCTATGTGCCGTAGACAGAAGATAGGGGGTAAGTATATATTCTTTTCTTTTATTCTTTTCGCCTTATGGGTATATTTTTGCCCTTGTAATATATGAGGATTCTAACATGGGGAAGGGGTTCTGACCTAATAAGCAGATCTTGCATTTTACTGCAAGGTTTGCTTTAGAAATTATATATCTCTTGTGATTGTTATATGTAGATATATATGTTTTATATATGAGTTTTCGTATACACAATGTATATACTGTATGTACTGTTCATGTCCAGGCTCATCATCCACTATCATCATGTTATGTAATGAAAAAAAAAACGTATACACATCTACGGTGTGCTGCAACACACCCGTGTTAGAGCACACTGTAACACGCATGCATATGCTTTGTGCGTGACCTATTTTTTGTGCACTGAGGTGTGTTGATAGTCCATTCTTAATGCACTACAACACATGCACTACAGTGCACTGCATTAAGGTGTGAAAGGCGTCTAAAAAGAACTCCACAACAATTAAAATTGTGTTGTAGTTTCCTAAAACTTCTTATCATGCAAAATAAATATGATGATTAAGATGTTTAAAGGAAACTCTAGCCAGGTAAAAGATGAGTTAAAACATCAACATAAGAAATGCATTGCTTCATGGCTGAATTCAGTGACAGTCACAAGACGTTTTATGCTTAAAATGAGTACCTGCGGAAGTCTAACAGCGAGCGGGTTGAAGCCGGAACGCCATGGTCATTCCAGTTGAGGAAATTAAACTGGGTGACAGTGCGGGTTTCGTTAGTCTGTAGATTTTTCAGATAGAAGCTTCTGACAAGAAAATCCTCACACCAGATATGCTCGGAGACAAGATTTACCTGAAGAGGGAAGGAAGGCGTAGGACACAACTTAAGTACTTTACTGAACATCTGCTTCAAATTGTTTTACAAAAACCTGGCATCTCTAGAGGCCTCGACACCTGGCACACTCATACTAGCTCCATGTTAATCAAAATGAAGGGGATTATTTATAGTCGCATACAAGCCACTACTGCACAGTCAAGGCAATGCTCGCAAACAACTTCCACTTGTCTCATTTCCTATCTGCTCTGAGGCTCTTATCTTAATAGAAACTTTGAAAGATGATGAGTGAAAGAGAAAACGAGTATGGAGAGAGAAAGAGAGGAGAATTATAAACAGAGAGGGGAATGGCAGAGAAAGGTCAAAGAGGAGACAGAGAGTGAGACAGTGAAGACTGAAGAGAGTGCAAAACTGCACAGAGAAGAGAGACAGCGAGAAGGGCAGGGCAGAGTGAAGAGAAAGAGAGAGACAAATGGCAGAGAGGAACGAGAGAGCAAGAAAGAGAAGAGACTGAGAAAGACAGAAAGAGAGAGTGAGAAACAATATAGAGGTGAGAGAGAATGGACAAAGACGAGTAAGAGGATGAGAAAGTGCAGCAGAGGTCCCCAAAGGTCTTCTATGCTCTATCTACATCCCCTCGCTGGGTGAACTGAGAGCTCTGACCGCTTCCAATTTCTATTTCTAGGGTTATGACGCCCAAATCTATCTCTCTACTTACCCCATCAGTTTCCTCAAGTAACACAAATTTCCTAACTTATATATCAGTGTGGATGTCACTCCACTTCCTCAAACTCAATCTTTACAAAGCTGAGCTAATATTTCCTACCACATGTACCCTCTCCCCAGTGGCACAACTATTAGTCCCTTGCCTCATGCCAGGATGCTTGATGTAATCCTGGACTATGTCCTTATCTTACTGTCTTAACCTCCTTATAAATCTCAAAATTACACCCCTTCTCCGCCAAGGATACCACAAAGTTACTAAATCACTTCCTTGTGATCTCTCTCCTTGACAATTGCTACTCTCCCCTCGTTTGCATACTTTTACATAGGTTATCCCCCTTAAGTCTATCATGAATGCTGCTGTCTGACTCATCCACCTTGCTAACTGTTCAGTGTCCACTACCTATCTGCCATTCCCCCCTCACTGGCTTTAACTTTCCCACTGAAAAAAATCAAAATTATTAAAATAATAAAAACATAAAAAGCTATCCACAACTCTGTCCTGAGCTATATCACCAGCCCAATCTCAAAATATCACCAAAATTGTCCTCTTCAGTCCTTCCAAGACCTTTTGCTCACTAGCCCATGCCCCATTTTCCAGAGCATCTTTTGTCCTCTGGAACGCCCAACCCCAATTTATCCAGCTATCTCCTTCTCAGTCCATCTTCAAGTTTTACTTTCTCCATCAGCTCATCCATCATAGTTATTACTTTTTGTATCACTTGATCCTGCCTTTCAGATTGTAAGCTCTCACAAGCCGGGCACTATGAACACTCTTTTATTGAACGTGATTGCAACTTTACTGCCTCCCTTTATTTTGCAAAGCACTGTGCAAACAGTTAGTTCTATATATCCTGCATAATAATATTAATAATAATAAACTGACATAATGATAAGATAGAGGAAAAGAGAGAGAAAGAGCAGAAAGGAACATGTGTAAGGAACAACAGGCAGGAAAGAGTGAGAGATCTCAGAGAAAGGGAAAGAAAAGAGAAAGAGAGGGAATATAGAAAAGGAAGGAACAGAGAAGAAAAAATAAAATTAAATGGGTAAATAGGTAGAGAGAAAGAGGAAAGCATGGGGACAGCACCAGAGATAAGCCTGAGTAATATATGGAGAAGGAGAAAGGATGGAAACACAATGGAGAAAAGGGGAGAGAGGAGAAGGAAAATTGAAGAAGAGCAGAAAGGACAGGAGAGAAAAAGGGAAGGGAAAGAGCGAGAGTGAAAAGCAGAGAAGGGGAAAGAGAAAGAGAAAGAGATATAATAAAACCTAATCATTTGAAATTCAAGCTATGACAACTGCCACATTTTCTAATATGCATGCATAATAATAAATAGCTGCATACAGTTTTGTCTAATGTACAGAGAATCACATAATTTATGAATCATGAGTACCTATGCTCCTGAATTTTATATTTCTGGACAGATTAGATCAATTTGAATACTCAGATATCATCAAGAATGATGCAAGGTCCGACTGCCAGAGCATGGGGTAACAGAGGATCAGGTAAGTAAAAGTGCATTTACCCTCCCCTATAATATATGCAGTCAACCCTTACAGTGCAGGTGCACTGCAAGCAAAAATTTTCAGAGTTCTTGCAGCCAGGTTTTAAATATTAATTTTGGGTGGAATGATCCTTGATCCTGAAAAAAAAGGCACTTTTCAATAAAACATATTATCACAATAAAAAAGTGAGAGGTATACCTCGTAGATATGGTAGAGGTTAGAGCCTTCATCTGGCCAGTAGTGGTAGCACTGCTTGACTCCATTCTCCGCCAGTGATGTCAGCATCACGATTACTACACAGCCATTCTCCCATACCATCTGCAGACAAAAGAGAGACACACTGTGGCCACACTGCAAACGCTTAATTACTGTGTGACATATGTAATTACAGCACTCAGACACACAATCAAAACTCATTCCATTCAGTGCAAATTCAAATTTCATTTTCATTAAACACTTTTCCTCTGCAGCTGCTTCTAAATCCCCAAGTACCCAAGCAAAACACAGCATTCAGAAACTAGACGATTTAAATATTTTCTCTTTGTAGAAATTGCATGTGCAAAAAGAAGGCAAATGCCAAAGGGTTCGGGGTTCTGCTAAGCTTTGAAAAAGAGCAGGATGAAGCAGTAGGTTAGTAAAAATAAACAGATACTAGTAAACATACATTAAGGTCTCTCCCATGGAAAATGTTGGCTCAATTAAAGTGTATCTAAACCCAAGAACAAGACTATAAATTAGTACAGCTTTTCACTCCTTAGATATGGTGGCTGCACTATGTTTCTTATTTTGGGATTTTTCCCTTTATTTACACATGGTGAATGTGAAAGTTACACAATTGCTGTCCCAAGCTGCTTGATCCTGATTTGAACTACAGAACAACCTCTTCCACATCTCCATAACACAGGGGAGGCAATCTGTAGGGAGAACTGGGCTCATAACACTGCATTGAGATTTCAGTACAAAGAGAGCATAGGAAGTTACAAGCTTTCTGGATTTGTGGCAGATCAACAGGTATTTTTTCTATCAAAAAAAGGTTTCTAATGGATAAAAGAAAACTCTTTCAATGGTACAGTTACCAGATTGATGGAACAATAAATGTTCATTCTTAGGGTTTGCACTTTAAACCAATTTATAAAAATGTTGTTCCTACTTATATTATGGCATTGCTGCTTTCTTACTAATTAATATAACCCATTTACTTTTCTTTAATGTGTTCAAAGTAGAACTCAACCTTCCTATCCTTACAGCCAAGGAAGCTGCCATCTTAGCCTTTGTTTGATCTGCAGTTGCCACGGTGCTGCACATGTGATCAGTTATGATACCAGCCATTTTCATGGCTTGGCTATTCTGTTCAGAGCACCAGCAACTATGGCAGTTATCATTCACAGCATTCCTTAAATGCAGGAGCTGGTTTTTCTTAAAACAATTAAATCGATGGGTTTAGTTCCACTTTAATGGTCACGCATACATTTTGTGCTCCAAAGTAATTGCATGTATGACTTATTTTTTCAGAGTTTAAAGTAAAAACATTACTGTATTTTATCAAATAAAATATACTAAAATATCAAACTGCCCAATAAAGTGCCTTTTTATACTTAAACAGTATGGTTAGTAGTTCTGTATATTTTTTTATTTCTCTTTCTTTTTCAGGGTACAAAAAAGTACATTGTTTTTTCTTTTTCAACTAAATCTAACATATTGTGGATAAATATATAAAATGCTGCTGTTTACTGAGCCCAATAGCTTAAGCTCATATTTACACACACAACTGAATTACTTAGAACATAATTTTTAATTACAGAAGGACAGTGTGAAAGTAAATAGCTTTTGTTGAGTCCTCCCTTCATAAATTCATAATGTTCTGTGCCAGCACAGTCAAAGTTGCACCCTCAATTAAGAATTTACTTATTTTAATATAAAAAATAACAAAAAGGTGTAAAGCATCACATCTAAACATTAAAAAAAATTGTAATATAAAAATAAAACTGACACAGTTTCCCTTTAATTTTCCCCCTGAATGACTCGCTATCACATTATCAATTTTTAACATATCTGAATGTGTCACTGAGGTGCACATTATAGAGTGGGAAGTTAATGTATGGAGGGGTGGGGGGGTCATGTAATTATGTAATTGATTCAATCTTTCTCCAAGCTGAAATTAGCATAAAGGACATCCCCAGGTTCAAGTGCTTATGTGTAGGAGGTTTTTCAAGACAAATGAAAAATCTGCTACTGGGTATTGGGGCATTTAATATACATGCACTGAGAACAAGTTCACAGAGAAAGTCTAATTCCTGTTCTCGAACCACATACAATCCACACTAAAATGGCCGTATTAAACTACGTATTAATCTCCTAAACCCTCCCAACAGACTGAAAGGATATTTGTGAGATATGTGAATCATCTAACACTCTATGTTCATTTAGTTGTTTTATATTACATAATAGACTTCATGGGATCCATTGATCGAGTTTGTAGTCTTGTATTATAATACATTGTACTATAATGCTCCCCAGGAATTGTCTTTTTCCCCAGTATAACATTCTATGGTGAGAATTAGAACTATCAATTCTAGTCACCAGTGCTCACACAACACTTACTTCTGTTTTCTCTATGAATATTTTTTCTACAAAGAAGAAATTAAATGTAAAAACACTAAAACTGTGCAGAAATTATAAAAATGTTTTAATCTGTACATATATTTTATCCTATTTTCATTAGCATACTTTACTTCTTTTATCGGACCCTGTGGCAATAACTATTACATAGCGTCTGATTTTGAGTGAATAATAAGCATTATTTTTTTTAGTATGTAAAAGTTTATGAAAACATTAACATGAATCTATTGTGCCAGACAAAGTCATGGTGCTGCATTGCTCATTGCAGAAATCACTTTTTAAATATATAGTCATTGCTATGTAATCAAAGATTCAATTAAGGGGCTTTAGTGCCTTTCCACTTGGTAACCGCGCTATAGCCGAATGACGGCTACAGCGTTGGTACCCAGTTCTGGGAGGGTGTCATATGACGTCTTCCCAGAATGTGCCCTTCCGCACGCTCCCAGGGGCATGCACCTGGTGATCTCCGTGATTGCTGTGTCCTACAGACACAGCTGATTACGTTATGAAGTAAAAGGCCAATCACAGAGGCCTTTTACCACCATGATCAGCTGTGTCGAATGACACAGCAGATCACGGAGTAAATACAGTTGCTGGTTAACAGGAGCACTTTCTTCACGCTGTCACAGCGTGAAGAAAGTATTGTCGATAATCAGCAGCTGTCACAGAGGAGATCGGCACTGATCATCAGGGCACTGATGATCAGTGCCCTGATGATCAGTGCCCTGCAGTTGCGCCCAGCAGTGCCACCCTGCAGTGCCCAGCAGTGACACCCATCAGTGCCACCCATCAGTGACACACCCATCAGTGCCATCAGTCAGTGCTGCCAGTCAGGACTGTCAGTCAGCACCACCCATCAGTGTCACCCATCAGTGCCCATCAGTGCCTCCTACCAGTGCTGCCTATCAGTGCCCTTCAGTGCTACTTATCAGTAACCATCATTGCTTCATATCCGTGCAGCATCATCAGTGCCTCCTCATCAATGCCCACCAGTGCCGCCTCATCAGTGCCACCTCATCAGTGCAGCCTATCAGTGCCCATCAGTGCTGCCTATCCGTACCACCTCATCATGCCCATCAATGCTGCCTATTAGTGCTCATCAGTGCTGCTCATCAACGCACATCAGTGAAGGCGAAAAATTACCTGTTTGCAAAATTTTATAATAGAAACAAAGAAAAACTATTTTTTTAATTTTTTGCTATTTGTTTGTTTATAGTGCAAAAAATAAAACACCCAGTGGTAATTAAATACCACCAAAAGAAAGCTCTATGTGTGTGAAAAAAATTATAACAATTTCATATGGGTACAATGTTGCATAACCGCAAAATTGTCATTCAAAGTGCAACAGCACTGAAAGCTGAAAATTGGCCTGGGCAGGAAGGGGGTATAAGTGCCCAGTAAGCAAGTGGTTAAAGAGATCTTGTCGAGTTCCTACAGCTTTAAAATTTTTCCATGGCTGCAGTGCTGGAGTGGAAAAGAAATAGGAGTAATGGGCTGCAGATGTGGTTATATGCTGTTTTCTATAGAAGAGGATTAAAGCTTTTAATGCTGTAGAAACCTGACAGGGTCTCTTTAAAGCACATGTATATTAATAATTTTAACATAAAGCTATATTAACAAATATATTCAATTGAACAAGAGCAATAAAAGAGCTGAAGTACTTCATTTTGCTAAATACAACTCCAGTGTATGCTCCTGCCTGGAAAGGCCACATGTCTAAAAGCCTATTTGGTCAGGTGATCTGTGCTGTTGGTGTAGAGAAGGGGTCTCCAAACTAAAAAAAGGGCCAGTTTAATGTTTTTAAGGAAGGCTGGACTGTGGCCAGCAGGAGTAGAAAATGTATTGGTGTCAGTAGGAATAAACAATGCCCCATCTTAGGTTTTAGGGGAGGATTAGTGCCCCAATATTGGTATCAGTGAGAGGAATAATGACCCATCATTGGTTTCAGTTGGTGGAATAGAGCCACATCGTTGGTGTCAGTGGAAGAAATAATGCCCCAATGTTATTGTCAGTTGGAGGAATAGTGCCCCATTGTCAATGTCAGTGGGAGAAATAGCGCCCCAAGGGCTGGATAAGCATAAGCAAAGGGCCATATCCGGCCTCTGGCCCCAGTTTGGAGACCTCTGGCCAACTTGTCCAGAACCCCAAATATTTCCCTTCAGCAGTGATCATCTGACCAAGAGACTAGTCTTTTAGGCTTGTGGTCAATATTGGATGGAACCTGAAAGAGCATTTTCTCTAAGAACTGTGTTTAAGGCCTTCTCGATTGTTTATGCATCACCACAAGACTTAACATAGCTTTAAACGAATCTGTGGTCATATTCTTAACAAGTAGCAAATTAGCTTTAAAACAACCCTGATTGACCTCTGTAACTGGGAGCACTGTGGAGCAATCTATCCTTAAAATTCACAGCAGAAGCACTGAGGTCATCCAAGTAATTTCTTAGCAGCTCAGCTCACCCTGCTCTGTCTTCCAGCTCTTGCTGGACGTTTCTGAGTCTCTACTGGGAGGAGTTAGGGAGGACTGAGCTTCTGACAGAGCTTTGATCTTTGAGGATAATTGCTACACGGTGGCTACAATTACAGCGGTCAGTGAGGGCTTGTCATAAAGTGCATTTATTGCTTGTTAAGAATATTTAAATACTGGAATGCTCATAGTCTGGGCA